AGTGTCCCCAGGGACGAAACGAGCTGTCAAACTAAGCACCATGAGTGTCTCAAGTCTTTCTGTAAATATTATTTTGCTATTCCTTCATTTTGTTGTCTGCTCTTGCTCCTGACAAAAAATCCCAACGATTTGGAAAAATACAGAAAGAAAAAACAAAACTGGAAAAAAAACTAAAACCTCTGTTAAGCCTAACTTTTTGCTGTGAACTGGGGAAAAGATCACATGTTTTCAATGTCACCAGTGAAACAGTTCATATCAGGGGTCTGTTTTTTTTAAGGTATCATCATTAAGAAACTATACCTCTAATTTTAAAAGACAAATAAAAAGAGATCCTGAAGCCAGAGGGAACTAGGTGCTTGACAGAGCACATCAAACCCCATATTAATGAGAAATGACTGCAGCCAAAGTACCAGGCAGGAATGACGAGGCTGAGGCTGCCCTGAGAATCAGCAGTCAAGAGTGCATCCTTCCTCTGGGATTCTGGGCTTCTGTTTCTCCATTACGCACGTTCCCGATGACTGTCCCACCACACCTGGCTTCCAGCATTCCCTTCCTCGGGGGGCCCTGAGCTTCCCTCTCCTCCCCACGATGCTGGGACCACGCCGGTTACCTGATTCTCCACCAGCATGGCGATGTCCATAAACATGTCATGAAGCTCCTTGATGCTGCTCTCCAGCTTCACGATATCCTTGTGCCGTCCCTCGATCTCACTGAGGGCTTGCTTGGAAATCTGGGAGTCAATGATCTACAAGAGGCCAAGGACCTGCATGAGCCCCACCCCCGCTGCAGCCTCGCCCAGCTCCCCCCTGCCTCCCCGCACCTGCAGCCCACCTTCCACTCGCTGCCCGCGTGGAGCTCCCCAGTGGCTCCCCTCCTCTGTGGAGGGGCGTGCGTCCCAGCTCCCAAGTCACTCACCCCGGAAGTGAAGATGGCAGGGTTCCCACTCTCCAACATCTCCTCCAGCTCCTCATCTGTTGTCTTTTTGCCGGCTTTATGACAAAAGAAGGAGAGCATCAAATACAAGATCAAAGCACACCATGTCAAAAGTTCCCTGGAAATTAGGAATATGGTCACTGCACCATAAAGACTGTGGCCCTCACAACACTCCCCCAACAGCCTCCTGACTCGTCTGTCTTCTGATTTCTCCCCTAATCCAAACCATGCTTAACGTGATCAGCAATTCCCTTCCTGAAGTACATACCTGATCGCCTTCCTTCCCAGGTCAGAGCGTTTACTGGACCCATCACCCCACCATGGAGGCCAAGTCCCTCAGGACAAGGAGCCGGTTCCTGGGAGAGCGCCATCTCCGTCCCCCTTAACCTCACACCATTACGTCTAAACGCACCCTTTCCCAGGCCCTGCACAACCTGCCGTTGCTAAATACATGTGCTTTCTTCTGACTGCGTCCTTGTTCCTACAGTTCCTCCACTTAGAGGGCTTCCCACCCCGCAGGGCCCTGCCTTCCATGTTACTCAATTCCTAAAGGGCATGGCTTTATTCATTTCTTTACTCCTCACAGCAATTAGCAACACACCTTTGATTCCATAAATGCTCTCTGCTATCAGAAAGACAGCAAAAGATGTCATGTGTCCCCAGGAGGGCAGCTGTTTACCAAGTATCTCCCCTCTGTGTATAGGAAATGCTGGCTCTCACAAGAACAAAATCACTGGGGCCTGATAAACACTGTGCCACCCTTCAGCCTAAGACGCAGCATCCAGGAAGTTGCCAGTGCTGTAAAGCCTGCCCTGGGCTTGGGCACAGAGTATGAGCCCGAAGCCATGAGCCGGGTTGCTGCTCCTTCTCCCCGGGTCTCACAACGGGAACGGACAGCCACGTGTCAGGAAAAGATGAAGAGGTGCCACTGAACTTCAGACACATACTGATTTCAAGCTGCCGCTGGATGCGCCCTTTGCTGCGTTCACGGAAGTCCACCTGAGCCTCATTGTATTTGGTCATCACCTCCACAAATTTCCGGGACAGGACGGAGTGCTGTGGGAACAATGTCAAATGCAGTAAGCCCCCAGGAGGTGAGGGAGGTGGGAGGCCCGTAACTATTGTAGAACCTCCCCCACCACCTTGTCTACAGCAGTCCTGGCTTTGGAGACAAAAGACCAGCTGTAAGACTCAACTTTTTGGCTTCCTAACTTTACACCACTGGGAGAGTCTGCTGACATGTTTCCAAAGCATGTTTTCAGTGCCTGCTTACCTGCACTGCTGACCTCATATGGGAGGGGTCAGCAAACTGCGGCTCTTTGGGTACGGTCCGTTTCAAAAGTTTGCCGACCCCTAGAAGAGCCAATTCTGTCCCTCACAACAATTTAAAAATTATTTGAGAGCCATAAATATATTTTTACATAATCACCATTGTGAATAACATCCTTTCAAAATTTTATAAATGAAACTATGATAGTTTTATTTTCATTTTCAATTTTACTTTAGAGCCACATGTAAGTACCCAAAGAGCCGCATGTGGCTCGCGAGCCGAGCCGCAGTCGCAGTCAGCAGACCCCTGGTGGCTCTTCCGTCTCAAAAGTTTGCCAACCCCTGTCATACGGTAATTGTGAGGCCAGGAGAGGTCATCTCTGTGAATCTCAGAGCCCCGCATCCACACGGACTAGGAGTATTTTTCTGGCACAACATTTTGCTGGCTTTCTAGAGCTGTCAGACTCCCTTCCTAAGTCCATTACCTGCCAAAGATCCTGAGTGCTTACCCAAACTGATCCACCTGACTTCTCTTGCTTCTAACTACATGCACTCACTCCACAGCCATCAAGCACTACTAGTTTTGAAAACATCTCCGGCTTTGGTATTTTTTTTCAAACCCACTACCACCATGCAAATTCAAAAACAAAATCACTGCAAAAATCCAACCAGAGACCCATCTGCCTCTTGCCTTTTCCCCACTCTGATCCAGCTTTCAAGTGGCTACCAGATTATCTTCCTAATGGACTGTGGCCTGAAGTAAATGCATGCGGGCTCCTCGGTCATAATCCAACACCCTGCACAAGTTGTCAGCCACCTCTGGAATCCGGCCCCATGTTCTCTACCAAAACTCGGCATCCACTATCCCACAACACACTTTTTTCTCCAGAAGAGCTGTTCTTTTCATGTCTGCCCTTCCTCCTCACCCCTACCCCATCACCACTACTGCTACCAACACGCACGCACNGCCCACCTGTCAGCCCCAGTACGGTGACTGGGAATCAGAAAGCACGATGACGGTCCTGTTGTGAACCACCCTGGATTCATCATGTCAAATAACTCCCCAGCTCCCTAACTCCCTGTGCAAGCGATAGGTAAAGTGGGAAGAAAATCAAGAAACTGAAGAGCAAAAATCCCAGAGCCCAGGAGAAACAGTCAGAAGAGAACAATCCAGAAAGCACAGTCTGCAGAGCTGGCTACCAGTCGGTGGCCTCAAGCAATCGGGGCACCAGAAGGAAGAGGGCTGGGGGTGGATGGGGTGGTGCAAAGAGCATGACTGCAGTCTGAGTTTGAATCGCTTACTAGGTGGCCTGAAGCCAATTACTTCACCCCTCACCCTCAACTGTTTCATCTGTGAAGCACAAATAATAGGTGTTCCATAGGATGAGATAATGTTTACATAGCAATCAGCACAGCACTGGGTTCGTGGCAGAGAAAAGGGGGGGCAGGGGGCCGGGCTTGGGCTCCTGGAGTGGAAGACCATGAAGAGAAGGTTTCTGAAGACAGAGGAGTCAAATGTTAACATCTGAGAGGATCACGAGCTCTGCCCAGGGGAAGAGTAGCAGCAACACGCGGGCACGGCGTCCCTCCTACACAACTGCCTTCAAGTGTGGGTTGCTGGGTAGAGAGCACGCGAGCCAGATCCATGCAAGGCACAGCTGGGAAGGAAGGGCAGCTAGTCTCTAGGAAAGGCTGACAGGTACTTGGAAGAGGTCAGGACTGAGAGGGAAGACATGGGCTCAAGGACACAGGTGGGGATGACCAGAGAGAGAAGCAGCAAGACAGGCCAGCTGGGACAAGGGTGCTCACCCTCCGAGCTTCACTCTGATACTTGACGGCCTTTTTGGTGTCGGCCACGGCCCGTTCCACGAAGCCCACTGACTGGTCCATGTTGTTCTCAATACGGTCAATCATGGCTCCCTTTCCCCGGATGTAAGAGGTGGTGGCGGCAGGAAAAGCGACAGGGAGAGGAAAGAGGGGAAGAGCAGAGAGCGCGAGCTAAACGGACCCTGCTCCGAAGGCAGCAGGACGGCCTCACCTTCCGGGCCTGACCCTGATATTTCACGGCTCTTTTGGTTTCATCTCGTGCCTTCTCCACATGGTCCACTGTGTGCATGACATTCAACTCTATGTTATCCAACATCTCACCCTGCAAAGAACAGACACAGTCACA